CAGCAGAGCCCTGCCTTACCTCATGTAACAAAGGCTGCCTCAGCAGAGCCCCGTCTTACCTCATGTAACAAAGGCTGCCTCAGCAGAGCCCTGCCTTACCTCATGTAACAAAGGCTGCCTCAGCAGAGCCCCATCTTACCTCATGTAACAAAGGCTGCCTCTGCAGAGCCCCATCTTACCTCATGATGAAATCCGATTGGTCGATTTCCCCACCACAACCACTGCTCTTCAGGACTCCTCCATTGCCAACGACGGCACATTTCTTCAGGAGTGAAGAAAGTGGAGGTTTCTGGAGAGACAGTGTGCACCACCAGTCAAACGTTTTTGCGCACCACAGGTTTTTATCACTTTTCCATTTATTTCATTTCCATTTTTTATTCTTTTTAAGCATTGGAAAGTTGTGTGAACGACTATAAATGAAAATATAAGTCAAATAAAATAAGTTTCCTTTATATCATGGAACAGTGCATGTCTGACGTCATATTAACTGGTTGTGTGGTGATGCCACAATCAAATTCTAGGCTGTCCTTTAACTTTAAATGCACTAATTAAGTTTCATCCCATGAATCAGAGATCAGAGCAGTATTTAATGTCCCTTGTAGAAAGAATGCCTTGAATATTCTCTGCTGTTAAGCTGAAATTAAATCTCCTCTTGACATCTCAAGTAGACTGAGAAAGAGCTAAAGACAGAGCAGAGATCAGGCAAGGTTGTGGGGTGGGGGGGGGCTCATCCAAGAGCCATGGAAGCTCACCTGCACAAACAGGGGGTAGGTGACATTGTTCACCGTGTGTGAGTGGTAAAGTTCCCCGTCGTACCACAAAACCTTCCCCATGGGCGAGTTTTCCTTGGTTATGGCGAACATCTCCTTAGGCTGACAGCACTCCTCCAGCAGCTTCCTGTGGAGCAGAGAGGACACAGCGTAACTTGCATCTGCCACGTTTAAGACACCAAGCCAATGGGTCCACATTGGCGGTTAAGGCTGCTAGGTCCACAGGTCCTCTGTTGTTCCAAACCTGCATATATTTACTTACCCACAGAACATAATTTCACCCATGCATACAGCATATTTCCCTAGGGTACGCTGCCCAGGTCCCAAGTCACTATTCTAACTGATGCCACCTCACCGTTTCTCAAAGATAACGAGAAACTTCCAGTTGAGATTCAGTCTGATGCAGTTTCTTCCACACAGCCTTAAAGTTTCTCATACAGAATTAAAACTCTAACAAGCTGTAATACTCAGCAACTTTGAATATGTCTGCAAGCTGCAGGTTAGTTTGATTTGGAGCAAATTAAATTGGGACATATAAAATATTTAAACCCCCCTTTGCACTTATTGCATAAATTTAATTTAAAAACTTCTAAGCTGTGTTTACTCTGAAGGCCACAAAACAAAACAGTTCACTTGTATATATTCATACTCGCTGAGTAGAACAGAATCGTGCACATAGTGTCAGAAACCTCGTGCAGAAGGTCTTGCTTCCGGGTGACCCCTAACTTGTTTCAGTGGATCAAATTTAAATTAGCACTAGAGAAGGGAAGTGCTTCTGTTTGGTTTATAACTGGCCCAAAAAATAGGGGGGAAAGTCAACAAAATTGCCCAAAATACGCAACATAGGCCTACAACCTGGTTGCTTCCATCACTTCTGCAGTTATCAGCGCCAATCAGGCCCAGGTCATTCCCCAAATACATATTGCAGCGAGGGCAGGAATTGCTGCTATCGATGTTGATGGGGGTCATTTTCAGTTGCTGGAGTACACTGGTGGAATGTGTGTGTGTGTGTGTGTGTGTGTGTGTGCCCATCCCTTCCACGGTGTGTACGCGCATGGGGGGTGTGACTGAAGCGCGCGGTGAGAGGGAGGAGCTCGCGGGGAGTGAGAGCAGTCCTATCCAGTGTCACTTTTTCTGTTATCATTTGCGTATGACCTGCTGTGGCCAACAACAGCCAAATAAACAGCTCATTTTCGGCAACTTGCCTATTCATATGTACAATGGATAAAGTTACGATATGTTATAAGTTAATCGTGGTTAAGTAAGAATGCTGCCCAGATAACGTACGTGTTCATTATGGGACTGTACAATCTTAAAATGACCTGAGAAGAGATTATCGACAACTACATTATGCAAACGGTGTTGAAGGCTATTTGTACACTGAATGAATTAATAAAATATGAATGTAAGAGGTTTATAAATGTGCACAGTAAGGTAAGAAAGCCCATCTAAAGTGGTCAGTCGGCGTTATAGTGCGGCGGTATTTACGACTGTGCAGAGCCAGCAGGAACAGTAAAGATCAGCCGGGGATTTCGGACAATCCAGCCGTTATCCACCGGCGAAGAAAACTACTGCGTCCATTTCAGTGCAAAGGTGGGCTTTACGTGTCTTTAACATTCATTTCCGTTTTGCACTTTTGCAATCAGCAAAGTCTACTTTCAATATCCTACTTGCCGTTAATAAAACATCCCCCTGATTCGCGGACATAAAAGAACGTACCTAACTGAAAACGAGATTTACAAATCAAAGCACAACTGTCATAATCACAAAAAATCACAACAAACAATACACAACCGAGCTATACCACGATGATTAATGGCAAAACAACTCAATGATTGATGATTCTCAAAATATGTAAAATAAACATGTAGCCGTTTTTATGCAGAATTAAAATCAAAGAAAATAAGCTTCAGACGCATTTAGGCCATATGCGACACTGAGCGAGATGCAGATTATCCATATAGGTAACAGACAGTATCCCGCTGACCCTCTTATAATAATAGCGAATAAAACGCACGGTCCACAGCGCGGATATACGCAGAGCGCAAAGGCTCCAGCCACGTGCAGCGTAGAGCAGCGCAAACAGCATACCTGAGTAGATGGATTCCTGTGCGGTTCCGCTGCCATGTCCGCCCCTGGCGCAGCACCTCGCGCACCACCTCACTGTCGCTGGGCAGTCGGTACACCGGGTAGTTATAGACCCAGTATACCACGACGACGCACAGGGCGCCCCATACCAGCGACCTGTTTCTGGGACATCTCAGAACCATTATCACTGTGGGGATGGGAATCTTACATCAGACTCCCTGCACCAAATTATATCGGGTTATCTGCAGTGACCGATCTTCATCTGCCGTCTGCCAATAAAGCCACGCTTTCCGTGCAACGCCAATATCACACCGCTGTTATTTTAAATAAGACAACAAGTTTATCTTGACCGCCGCAGACGCGTCTCCATCACTGCTGAAGCCTAGCACCACTGATGAGAGGAGATGCATCCCGCATCAGACTGACTGGACTCAGGACTCTGTGCTGTCCGTGGGTCCCAGGCGCCGCCGGGATCCGGTGTAAACGCACGGCGTGTCGCTGCTGGTTGCGGAGCTCCGCTGCTTCATTGCGGCTCCCCGAAATTACCGAAAGGCTCCTTTGCCGCAGCGCCGGTCCCCTCGCAAACCCAGCAATGCCGCATTGCTTTTGCCCTCCGCCGGCTCTCAGGACAGTAGCTGTGGGACCCAGGAAGCCTCCAGCAAGACAAAAGCGCCGCTTTTTGTGCTAATGCGAGCTGGAAGCGTGTGAATGGGCGGGACTCCCCCTGGCCGGGCTCCTCATGCCGATGGGAGGATCGGCAGCTCCGGGGCACTGCTCGACTGAGATACGGGAAAAGCTAAAAACCGAAGAAAAACGTGCTCTCTGAATTTTTAATATTCCACTTATAGGGATAAGAGGCAGGCACCGCATCAGCGCCTCGATATTTCAGCTGCATCGACCAAAGATAATGTGCTGCGAAAGACCGGCGTTTAATTGGCTTTGTCCAGTTAAGCGGTCCACCCACCGGGCGTCTCACACCCGCTATGTGCGGTTATACAGGTACTGCTGTATAATCCCGGTGATGCTAATACATGGCTGGGAAACATACAATCACACATGCAGACAGATTCCACTTTAAAACGCCCCTGTATAGCTAAACTGAGGCGTCAATAGTATGAAAGGTGAATTTTAAGTTCAGTGGAATTAATATAGGACATGAACGTTCATTAATGTTTTCTGAGAAACTAAATACTTTAAGTGGTCAGAAAGGATTTAGGACCAAGGACGATTAGCAGGTGAGTCATTATCGCGTTACACGATGTCCGGGGGAAGATGAACAGCGCCGCTAGATTCCTTATGCGCCTGGACATACAGGCGCAACTACTCTATACGAGAGAAATCTGAACCTGGGGAAACTTTGGATGCAATGCTGTGTGAATTATATGCCCTGTGCCGTGCATTCCCACACGCGCCCACCGCACAGTGAAATCTGCCCAGAATCGGGCGCCCTCGGCCGCCGCAGGGACGGATTATGGGTTGTATGGGCCCCTGGGCAAAACGTTCGCGAGGGCCCCCCCCCACCACCAGCACCACCACCACAACCACCACAATTCAAGGGCCCTTGGCAGCCAAACGCCCTCCCT